ATTTATATACATAAAGTTAAGTATTAGAACAGACACTTATGTGAAATGAGGCAGATTGTGAAATTGAGACAAAGAAGAAATTCTTTTAGTTAATGAGAAGATCCATGCACTACTTGAAAATACAAAATTTAGACCTTTCTATCATCATCATTTTATTGTTTTCATAAACTAATAGTTCTCTAAGAACCCCTGTGTCTGTAGCCTTAATTCAATAAGTATAAAAGAGTTATACAAAAGCCAGACTTTGACGTCAAGATGTTTAAAAGATTGAAACGGTGGCCGCACAGACAAATCCTCCCATGTGTTCTTGACTCTGTTATGGTAGAGATGTCTGAATTTGATCAGAGGATGGGTTCATTAACACTTGTGATTCCTTCAGAATCTAAGTTTCTTTCTTTCTTTCTTTCAAATCTAAGTTTCTATATACATAAAGGATGGAGTCTACAAATTGAAAGTCAGGATAATATTATCATTCTTAATTGTTTGGAATATGATTGTCTAAATTACAGTGGTTAAGCACACCGAACAGATATATTTTCCTCTTCATTGTCATTATCATTTTCAAATACAGCCAAGTAACTCTTCTATTCATACCCTCTGAAAAAGAATGGATTGTTGGAAGAGAGACATTCCTTCATCTCTGCTCTGCACAAGTTCATGAATATCATGCATTATTATGCAGTAATATAATGCATAGGTTCTAGGATGAGAGAGAACTGGGTCTAGGAGGCCATCCTCAAGAGGTGGAATGGCACAATGATTGGTAACACAATCTCCAGAACCAGAAGGCCTGAGTCTGAATCCCAGTTTTCCCCACCAACTATCTCGCAGACCTTGAGTCTCTAGCCATTTGTCCTACCTACAAAATGGGAATAGTAATAGGATCCTCTTCCCAAATTTCTGCTGGAAGTGAAATATTTTATTATTTATAAAGTGCTTAGAACAGTGGCTGCCACATAACAGGTATACTATCTGTGCAATAAATATAAATCCTCATTCAAGTGACTCTAATCCAGGTAGATTGGGATCTCCAGTCCAGTCCTTCCACTTAAGTCACTCTGTGACCTTGGGCAGCACTTAACCCCTCTCTGCCCCATCTGTATAGGAGATTTAAAATAAGAACACTCACCTCACAGAGGGCTCATCAGAATTGAATGTGCTAAAACGTATGAAATAATAAGGCACAGCAGATGGTATAAAGACATATTAACTATCATTAAAAGTGACCTCTCAACTCACTCAGTTTTGCCTATTAACTCAATGCCTGCCACTTCTAAACTTTTCCAGATATCCTGCCTTCTGTCTTTCTTCCTATTAGACACTTGCAACTTTATGACCGCCAACACCACAACTGAACTAGGAAACTAAACTTTTCATAACCTCCAGCTAATGAGTGCCTCCTAAGATTTCCTTGTTGCTGAGAATGGCATCACTATCTTCCTCCAAACTCAACGCATTAGGCTATCCCTTGTTACACCAATGGCCTGCATTCATATGTATTCAATCCCACTTCACTCAACCTACAAAGCTTCATTTACACTCAACCCCTGCAGCCGCAGAAATCATTGTTTCTTTGTCGATTAAAATGCATTCCCAATTTCTTTTTCTGAATCCCTTCTCTCATATTCTAGTCTTGTTATTTTTACAAAGTACATTAACATATGATTTCCCTCTTGAACAACCTTCACTGGCTATGACATTAAGTAGAGACTACTCAGCCTGACATCTGTCTTTCCACATGAGAATCTTTCTAACCTCAACATTCCCTGTGATCCTTGAATATATTCTGTGCTTTGCTGTCTTCTTCTAGTCTTCTGATGGTTGCCTTCGCTGCAAATTGGCCATCTCCCTCAGTCAAAATCCCCTCTATATGAGGGGACCCATTTTTTAAAAGATTTTGTTTATTTATTCATGAGACACACACACACACACACACACACACATACACACACACACACACACAGGCAGAGACACGGGCAGAGGGAGAAGCAGGCTCCATGTAGGGAGCCTGATGTGAGACTTGATCCCAGATCTCCAGGATCAGGCCCTGGGCCGAAGGCGGCACTAGCTAAACTGCTGAGCCACCTGGGCTGCCCTAGGGGACCCATTTTAAATTAGGCTTCCTTTTTTTTTTTTTTTTTTTAATGAAAATGTACCATTTATTAAGGGACATGTGAGAAAATAAAACTCATTGTGCTCTAAAATTGTACAAGTTATAAAAATTATTTTTTAAAAAATTAATGTTCTAATAGCTGTGAAGTTTCAGTGGTAAGTTTTGAATAATTCTTCCTTCCCTTCCCTTTCACAAATAAGATACAGGTACACTCAGCTCATCACAGAATCCCGAGGCCCCTAACTCGTTATCTGATTCTGCTTCCCAGTCTTTGTCCTCAGGCTTAGGAATTTGGCTTAGAGTCTGTGCTGTCCAGCTCAGGCCTGCCTCTAAGGCAACAAATACCAAATTATTCACTTTAGCAGCTTGAACTGTTTATCCTTCAACTGAAGTGGGGTATCTGCACTGATAGGACCCTAAAAACTGACAAAAGGAAAAATATCACATTCCTTATTCTTGTGCAAACTTAACAAAAAATTGAACCATCTCTATTTGATACCAAACTTGGGTATAGCTGTTGTACATCAATATTTCTTGACTTTTTCCACATCTCACCTAAAGTATATTTCCTCAGGTAAACCTTCCAAGGAAAAAAATATAAATAAAAAATAAATTAGACTTCCTTCATAAACTATTTTCCTGACTGTCCCTCCGCCCCCCCCCCCCCCAAGGAAATTACTCCTTAAAATTCCATTGGCACATGTTGATACATCTTTTATGGTAATGACTATACCTTTTTAGAGAGTCAAGTATTTGTTTTATCAAAACCACCACTCACGTAATCAATGCTCAAGTTATAAAATAAATGGACTGTAAATATGCTGTTTCTTTGTATTCTGAGCAGTGACAGTCGCAGTACATTCGTTATTCCTAGTTCAGTAAATTTTTGTTGCCATTAAGCTGCTTGCACAGAGACTGCATCTCTATAGCAACTGCCCTAGGCTTGTAGTTGCCCTTCTTGTGCCTTCCATGAGCCGGAGCGATTGACATGTGACTCGTTTCTTACCAGCTTTTATCTCTTGTATCTACGTTATGCTGGCTCAGAATACAGAATTTGGAAAAGAGAAGAAGCTAAGGTTTTTATTCTACCCATATTTCTTTCCCCAAGGATAAAAGTGGATCGAGAGAATAAGTGTCTTAGTTCTAAATGTGCTATAATCTACAAAAATAAAATCTATATTTCTTGTGTACAAGAACCTGGCATTATTTTATTTTTATAAACGTCATCCATAGATATTAGCAGATTCTTGCTACACAATGAAAATAAAACTATTATTTGATTCTTCTAAAAACTCTAACCTCATTTTAAAAATATAGTTATTATTTTAAATTATCATATACTCATTTATACCTTTTCTTTATTCATAACTGCTGAGTAGTTTAAGACCATGGTTATTTAATTCAGTATTTGAGTTAACTTATATTTAAATAGTTCCCTTTTTTAGCTGCCTTATTTATTTCTTTTAAGTTTTTATTTATTTGAAAGAGAGAGCAAGCACAGCAGGGAGAAGGGGCAGAGGGAGATGGAGAAGCAGACTCCCCACTGAGCGGGGAGCCTGACCTGGGGCTTGATCCCAAGACCCTGGGATTATGACCCGAGCCAAAGGCAGACAACTGACTGAGCTGCCCAGGCACCCCTATATTTCAATACCTCTAAATTTATCAGGTTGAAATTTTAATAATTCACTGCTCCGGACCAAGTGGATGCTCCAGTCCACATTTAAGTGACACTGCCAAGGGCAGGAGTAAAGGATGCTCAAATTGAGGAAATCATAAATGCTCTGAACTAGGATCTTGAATGAAGTGAAGCCAGTTTGTAACCACCATACCTAAGATCCAGCTGTAGAGAGTAAGCTGTGGACAGAGCTGGAGTGGTTCTTGCCTGATTTAAACTCCGCTCCATCCTTACAAGAAAAAAAAAAAAAAAAAGAAAGAAAGAAAGAAAGCTCTTTTGGGGTCTCTGTCTTTACTTTGAAATCCTAATGTGACTTTTTTCCCAAGGTTGTTAATTAAAAAATACTATTTTAAATAAATAGTTTTTAAATATTCACTGTAAAAGAAATGCTAGTAATTTTATTTCTTTTCCCCATTTTGTTCTTTTATATAATAGCATCTCTTCCTAAAGGTCACATTTCTTTTTTATTAGAGAAAATTTGCATACTGACCTATTTTACCCCTTTTCTATTTATTAGTGAGCAGCTGGTATGCAAAATCTGAATAAATGATAGAAAACCAACCCTCTTTCAGATCATTATGAATGCTAAAAAGTTGATGTGAATATTTAAAGATCATTTAATTATATTGTGTTAAAATTATCTCAGACTTAAAATTTCTTCCACATTATTCCATATGTGCCTGTACACAAAACACCAAGAAATTTTATATGTAATGTACCATTAGAATCATTGTTTATGTATTTGAGCTTTGGTTCAACTTTTAATGACTTTTAATTGCCTCTACAATTGTCAGAAGACAAAAATCTAATCAGTCTGCTAATAAAATATGTGGGAGGATATTTTTCTCAGAATCCACCTTGTGGATGTGAAGCTATTTACCTCAAACTTCCTAAATCCCAGGGATGCTGGTGGTTTGGGAAGGAAAGAAAAGCAAGTTTGGGAGAGGCACTGTCGGTCAGCCCTTCTTTCCATAGCCAGCCTTTACCAGCCTGCTGATCACACCCTGGCATGGAATCCATCTCCTCCCCACCTTCTCCCCACATCAGAGAAGTTGTCTTGTTTGTCAGGAAGTTCCTATTCATAGGGACACTAGATGCTGAGTTCATAGAGTAAGACATCCTGTGACTCAAAAATCTTTAAATACAAAATTTCCTCTTTGGGAAATCTGGAAAAGAGACTGTGGGTTGATGTGTCCTTTCTTTACTCTCTAGGAGAAGATTTGGAAGATGTATCAGCTTCAAAGAAAGCTAAAGGTGAGTTTGTGATTGTCAATGTATTTATAAGTTTTCTCTTAAGGCTATAATGTTTTGTCTGTTTTATTAAGCTATTCTTGATCTAGTTCTCAGCTTTTCCTAAGTAATGGTTAGATGGTAGGTCTATTTTTTTAAACAAATAGCTTTTTTTGCAGTATTTGGAAAAATAGATATATGTGAATATCTGTACATATTGAAGGCACTAGTTGGATGGACACTGGTTTATTTAAAAATAATTATTAGGGGCATCTGGGTGGCTCAGTGGTTGAGCATCTGCCTTTGCTCGGGACATGATCCTGGGGTCCTGGGATCAAATTCTGCATCAGGCTCCCCGCAGAGAGCCTGCTTCTCCCTCTGCCTGTGTCTCTGCCTCTCTCTGTGTCTCTCATGAATGAATAAATAAAATCTTTAAAAAAATAAAAGTAATTATTAGATGCATTTATTGTCCAAACTACTTACTAGAACAATATTTCAAAATTATCATTTCACCAAGAATTGTGGGGATGCTATTTGACAGGAAGAGGACCACATTAAGTGTTCAAAGATGAAATTGATATATTTTTTAAAGATGCTATTTATTTATTTATCTGAGAGAGAGAGAGCATGAGTGGGGTAGGGGTAGGGGTAGGAGGAGAGGGAGAAGCAGACTCAAGGCTCAATCCCAGGCCCTGAGATCAGGACCTAAGCCAAAGGCAGACTGAGCCACGCAGGCACTCCTGGCATATTTTTATTAAGAATATTTGAAATAATTTGCCTATACTGACAGAAATTACATAGAGGAAGGAAGGGAAAAAGGAATGGAAGGAGGATGGAAAGACAAACCTCAGAAAAATATGCCACAACCAGATGCATAATCTTGAGCAAGTATTTTCGGGACCAAATTTCCTTATCTGTATTGTAAGGGTTTCAACTAATTTGATGTGTGTGTGTGAGTGTGTGTGTTTTCTCTGAGGAGTTTTATGGCTCCATAGTTTGGCTTATTATATAATAAATATTTTCTATTCTACTTCTAAACTTTCCTGTATGCAATAGAGTTTTCCTAAAAATTGTTCTTGCCATGAAAATATAAGTACTATAGCAGGGCCCAGAATTAATTAATAGTGTAGAAAGTAGTGCTTTGAGAAAAGACACAAGGGAATGGACACCTGAGTCTTATGAAATGATTTACATTTTCCCTAAGATATGTTTTGAATACTGAACTTTTAGATATTTTTTAAAACTTGGATTATTAAAAACAACAACTCTTAATGTGTTTTCAACTTCTAGATCTTTGCTTCTCAAACTATTTTATACATAAATATTCTGACATTCTTAAAATGGAATAAATCTGGGTTGGAGCCTAAGAACTACCTTTATGTCAGTCTCCAGGTAATAGTGAAACTCTTGGTATTTGGATCACACTTTGAGAAAAAGGTCCTTGAGCTCATTCAGATTTTGATGAAGTTTAAAACCTAACTTTTGATGAAAGACACACACACACACATCTTTCTAACATTTCAGAGTTTTATAGGAAACCCCCCCCCAAAAAGCCCAAATATGAATACCAGACAAGAACTTCTAACTTGGAGAAAGGGTTCACATACATAGCTTCAATTTCTCCATCACTAGATAACTGCCTGGTGCCCATTCACTACAGCAGAGAAGCCCTTGAGCCAGATGAGAAAAGGGAAGGATACAGGACACCATTCTGTGATATTCTTTCATGGCAATGGTGGTCACAAAAAAGCTGCAGTTCCTAAAAAATGTAGAATGATTTTGACTGAAATATCATCATTTAGCCAACTTACCCTTACCATATTACAACTCTGAACATCAAAGACCTCTTCTAAGAAAAGAATGTGTGTCATCTAGTTCTCATCCACTAACATCCAATACATCAGGACCAGTTTTCCTGTTTTAACAACTGCCTGTCAAATGCCACATTCTTTTCTTCAACTGATTCTTCTTTCCTTTAAAATAGTGAGAGATTGAGGAGAATCTGAATAAGAACCTAGCATATATTAAAAGAACCTAGCATTCACTCTTGTTTCTTTCATACTGCGCACCTCTTTAGACATTTTCATCTCCCTCCATATTTGTATGATAGCTGGGAATGTACAGATTATTTACTTTCATATTTTTGTATCCATTAGAAGAAGCTGAAGATGTGTCTCCCACAAAGAGGCAAAAAAGTAAGTTCGTTATTACATTAAAATGATAAAGTCATTCTATATTAAGATGGTAAGTGTAAATTGACACTTTAAGACTCTTAAGAAGACCCATATTAGAAGAAGAAGATTTCTAGCCTGGACGTGAAGAATAACATTAAAGTAGGTCATTTCTATTTCTAAAAGAAGTTCATCATTTTTTGCATCAGGCAAGAGGCACGTATTTGGAAGAATTAAAAGTAATGACTGAAGTGGCATTTGTTGCAAACCATTCTGCACAACTCTGATCCTGAACACCCTCACTGAACCCGCGCTTAAATGTGTGTCACTGCCTGCTATAAGAATAAGACAGCTGAAGTGACATGCTAAACTTTTTAATATGAAAATGAAAAAAATGTAGAATTCTAGGACTCAGCAATTCAATTGCTTAGAAACTCACTGCTAAGATTGAAAGTTCTTTTTGGTTTTTCTAGATATATGGCAGGGGCTCAATATTCAATCCTTGGGATTGTTGATTTCAAATGCAATCAACATTCAGGTGCAGCTACAAAATTCAATATCCAAGATTCTCATTATTCTGGTACTTCCAAATTAGACATTTTTCTTCAAATGGTGAAGCAATACATTTTGCATCCACATTTGCATTAAAGTCATTGCTGGACAGACGAAAGGAAGCAATGTTTGAAATAAGTATGACAGAGATTTGTTTCACATAATGGGTTTTTTGTTTTTGTTTTTGTTTTTTTTTTTTTAACTTGAGAAGGAGAGAGAGCACAGGCATTGGGGGAGGTAGGGCCAGAGGAAGAGGATGAAATAGGCTCCCCACTGAGCAGGGAGCCCTATGCAGGTTGGATTTTAGGACCCTTGGGATCATGATGGGAGTTGAAGGTAGACACTTAATCAACTGAGCCACCCAGGCACCCCTCACATCATGATTTTATTTTATTTTTTTTTAAGATTTAATTTATTTATTCATGACAGACTCACAGAGAGAGAGAGAGAGAGAGAGAGAGAGAGAGAGAGAGGCAAAGACACAGGCAGAGGGAGAAGCAGGCTCCATGCAGGAAGCCTGACATGGGACTCCATCCTGGGTCTCCAGGATCACACCCCGGGTTGAAGGCGAAGGCGACACTAACCCGCTGGGCCACCGGGGCTGCCCACATCATGATTTTAAAGTAAAGAATACATATTTATCTGAGGAAATGACATCAATAATGTTCTCCAAATTCTAAATGTTTCTTTAATGTATTTCTGAAGGAAATTACTAAAATGCGTACTATAATAGCAAATGCCTCCTACTCTGCATTAATACTTCATTCATTGAACAAATATTAAGTGCCTACTATGTTCCAAGCTCTGCCTTAGATGCTGGGGCCATTGCACCAGAGGAGAGATAGTCATTAGAAGCCTTCATACCCATAGCATCAGCTTGTGATAAATATGGGGAAATAAGCAGTCTTAATACTTCTCAATATTATCGCAAAATCTTATAAAATCAAACTGGGTATATTTCTGATTTAAATAGTAGTTTACTAATTGTTCATCTACTGGTAAAAATTTGTGGCTATGTCACAGAAACAGCTGAAGCCTTTTATTCTATAAATTAATATTAAAACATAATTTAAGGGATAAATACATTTTTTTATTCTCATGAATAAATATATCTTTTTTAAAAACCCAAAAAATATAATTAAAAAAATCACACAGAAGGATAGGTGGATTGCATCGATGTCAAGTTCCTGTTTAGAATATTGTACTATAGTTTTGCAAAGTTGTCACCATTGTGGGGAAACCCCGGTGAAGGAGATAGAGAAATCTCTCTGTATCATTTCCTACAACTGTGTGCAACTTTAGACTAATCTCAAAATAAAAAGTCTAAGTAAAAATAAATGAATGAATAAATCAATTCAATATTTTTAGTAAAACAGTTGCCAAATATTTACGTTCAATTGGGAGATTTACTATAGAAAAACAATATTTCCTATTCTCATCTTACTATGGAGTGGTTCTATAGTCGGATATTCCTGAGTCTTTTATATAAGAGCTAAAATTTGCAGCTATAATGATATTTTCATTAATAGCCCTATTGACATCAATTAAGTGTCAGAACTGTGCCCATGTGTGGTAAGTTCAGTTAGAAGGTAGCCTGCCTCAGCTGGACTCCCACTTTTAGCACCGGTGCTGCCATTGCTTATATGCAGCCAACTTTATTGCCATCCCCATTAGTAGCACTGAACAACCTTGGGGGTGGAAGAGGTTGTGTTACTGCCTCTCTCTGAAGCTGGAACAAAATAATAATAATAACAAGAAGAAGAATAAGAACAGTGATCCTGGGGCAGCCCCGGTGGCTCAGTGTTTTAGCGCCTGCCTTCGTCCCAGGGCCTGATGCTGGAGACCCAGGATGGAGTCCCACATTGGGCTCCTTGCTTGGAGGCTGCTTCTCCCTCTGCCTGTGTCTCTGCCTCTCTTTGTGTCTCTCTCTCTGTGTCTCTCATGAATAAATTAAAAAATCTTAAAAAAAAAAAAGAACAATGATTCTGTATGAGATGAAGTAGAAAGAACTAAGTTCATAATTTCCCTCATTGCTTCCTTCTGTTGCTTTGCTTTGTTTTTATGCTACTTCATAAGCCCCTTACACTCATATGGATTTGGCCAGCTTCACCATAGTCCACATGGCAGTCGCTTCAATGGTCCTTCTCTTTCCTGGCCATCAGCAAAAAGTGGCTCATTAACAGATGGCAAATAAATGAAATGGAAAACACTGAAGAGTCAGTGGGTGCCCGTGATGGTTTGAAGAAGCCAAAGTCACCATCTCTGAACAAATCTGCAACCAGGAGCATGGGGGGCATTGGCAGTGCAAGCTCCTACCTGCTGCACTACAGCCCTTGCTTGTCTTTAAGGTCTTTCTGTGTTGCTTTCCGCTCCGCCGGCAGAGCTGCTACCTGGAAGCGTTGCCATAAAAAGTAACTGTGCCATTTGAGGAGAGCCTCCAGAGTAAAGGCATGTGGAAAACCTCAACTCTAGGAACCACAAGGCTCTCTGTGCTTTTATTAAAACGCTCAAAGAAAAAAAATCAGTTACTTGGCATATTGATAAGCTCATGTTTTAGCATCTGTTACCACATAACAATTTTCTGAGTGCTGCGCACACCAACAGATTCCTGTAACGTTGGTGCTTTGACTTTCTATGTCAGATCATTTTTATTATCATTTATTAAGGGCTTATTAGGTGCCAGGAAAGATTTCAAGTGCTTCGCATACACTTACTGATTTACTTTCCACAACACTTCTAGGAAGCTTTTGCTATAGTGTTTTGACTTTACATGTGAGGAATCCAAGACACAATATGGTTGATTCCCTGGCTAGTTATTGTCAAGTCTCTGTGGCTGAAGATCCCATGTTCACCGACACTGTACACTGTACTATCAGGCCATGTTTCACCTTTGTTCCTGCTCGCATTCTACTTGTTTTAACAGATTATCATGCTCTGTTCCCTAGGCCCCATCAGTTTCTTCCAGTGTGTCTACTTGGATGGATACAATGGCTACGGATTTCAGTTTCCTGTCACTCCCGCATACCGTCCTGGAGAGAGCTCTGGCCAACCAAGTTCTCCAGGACAGAAGCAACAAGGACAATAGACCCTCTACGCACAGCCCTTCCAAGTGCTTTAAGACTTTGAAAATAGGACCTTCTGTTTGTCTGCAGTGACATAGGCAACTGAAATCATGAATCCGGGGAGTGTCTCTGAAACTGTTTTACTCTTCTTGAATGATAAGCAAACACGTTGAAAGATCTGGCACTCAAGAATCTGTTATTTGTGTTTGTTGCTAGTGTGGATGCTTATATATTTTTTTTTATTTCTACTCACTGTAGGTTTGCTCACAAGTTAAAGTTTACTTAATGATCTTTTAAACATACTTGATGCAATTACAAAATGGAATTCCTGATTTCAGTGCGATATGGTTTTAAGTGACAACACAGATGTTTTCAGTTCAAAAGAGTGCAGGAGCTTATACGAAAGCTGCTCTTTATCATGTAGATCTTTGAACGCAATCTGACCACTAAGATGATGTTAATAGTTTAATTTTATTTATGTCTCTTCCTATTTTAGTTACAGTAATGCTCTAAGAATGGGTAGTAGTTGACACATATAGGGCTGTAAGTTCCTTGTGATGCTCTTTCACTTAGAATTCAAAATATCTCTGAACTTTGGACATGGTAAGATGGAGTAGAAATATTTGAAGTTTGATAAATCTTATTTCAAAGATTTATCTTGAATTACAATTAGGACATTGTCTCCAGTAGAAATAAACCATCCAGTTAGGCAGGTCTGGTGAAAGTGTTTTTTTAAAAATAAAAGCAAATGAGATGTAGTATTTTCAGATTTCTCCAGACTATGCCCTAATAAAAATGTCACCTGGGTGAAATTTTAGATCAGTCACTAAATATGGGTGACAGGCACAAACGTATTTCACTTCACTTTAATAGGATTATCCTATGCAGTTAAATATGTTTACTTTCTCAAAAAATACATATATAAATATAGAAGTTAATGTCATCAAAATTGAAGAAATGCATTTTAACCATAAATGCTTCATGAGATGTCTTACTTGTTTTTGCAGTAAGTGGTAATCAGTGCCAAGGAAATAAGTGACTATCTTTAAGTTACTTGATAATGCATCACTGGGAATGACTATTATGGTTTTGTCACCTTTTTGTCTCCCAGTGATACGAACACTTGTGTTCTTTACCACATTTTTCTATCAACATTAAAGTCATGCCACTGTGACCTTTATCATGTTTACAGTTGCAACTCAACTTATGACAAATAAGCTCAGGAAATAAGTTCTCCTTTTTTGGCATTCTAATTACCCTCTGGTGGGGTAGCCAGAGCCAATACTAGCCAAGTGACTTATTTTCAAGGACTGTAACTATGTAAGTTCTTTAAGTCCTAGTTAGGTCACTATTTTACTAAAATATCACTAGGCTAGGGCATCAGTTACACATTCAGTATCAATAATGGATTTTCAGTGACTTTGGCAAAAAGAGTTGGTCTCAGGCACATGCTAGTGGATCTAACTCACGCCACAAAAGCCAATGTTTTAATGAACCAAGATTAACGACACTCTTTTGGGGGGACCTGGAGTATGTACCTTCAGGACTGACCACATGGTATAATCTTGCAAAGCCCCTTTCATGTAGCAATGGAAACTTTTGGGTAGGACTGTAGATAAACTTTATTACTCAACTGTTCCTACAGTTTGTCCAATTTAATGAAGAAGGGAATGGAGAGAAAATATGACAATTGTTTAGATTTCATAGAATGGTTTATCCATTCTTTCATTCAATGGCTATTGAGTACTTACTCTACTTACTCTTTCTAGGGCACTATGTTAAGCACTGGACTACATAAGAAAATTATTAGAGATAAATTCTATTCCCAGTGCTGTCCTGACACAACATGTGGCCTTGGAAAATTTCCTAAATGCACTATGATTGTTTCCCTATGTGTGAAATAGGGATCAAGACAAACAACCTGATACCTCACAGATGTACTGTGGACAATGACAATATATCTTAATACAAATATGACGTCAAAATAAATTTCTGAAATAATACTTTTGGATGCGGCACTAATTTTTCCTGAGTGCTTTTCTACATTATATCATTGTTTCTTTCACTGTCATTATAAAAACCAATAAGAAGTAAAAAAGGACAATTTATTGTAACTGGAATTTAAACAAACAAGATGTAAACAACATTAATAATGATTATTAAAGGTATATCTGCTTAAAGTTACAATGATGATAGCACTTGAAAAATGACGAAACTCATCTGTTTGAATGGTTTCATTAAATAAAGTATTTCTAGCCCTTTCAAGTTTGTGTTTTACATTAAAAAGGAAAAGATAAATGGTTCAGTTAAAAGTTTTTGTCTTTAATAGGGCACTCACAATTCATGTCATATTGGTCAAAAGTATGTGATATTTAATAATTGTCCTAGTTCTCCATTTTGTCCAATTGGTATGAGGTACCTATCCCAACCATCCACTCTTCCCCAAACTTCTCTTCCTCTTTATAGATGAAGGTCTATAGAAAATTAATAACTACCTAAGGTTTTTATTTATGTTTAGTTTTCATAAAGTCTGAAAAATCATCATTCAAAAGGGACAGGTCTTTTTCAGAATAATTCCCATGGAAAGTGCCTGCATATTAAATCATCCTGGTATATCCATGTAAAAACTCCTCTAGAAATTTTTGGAAACTGAAACTATATTTTTTTATGTTACTTTACTGGAGAAAGGCAAAGAGAATAACGAATGTTATTGCTGATAGAAAACTCAGGGACCAGGGATCCCTGGGTGGTGCAGTGGTTTAGCGCCTACCTTTGGCCTAGGGTGCGATCCTGGAGACCTGGGATCAAATCCCATGTCAGGCTCCGGGTGCATGGAGCCTGCTTCTCCCTCTGCCTGTGTCTCTGCCTCTCTCTCTCTCTCTCTCTCTCTCTCTCTCTCTCTCTCTGTGACTATCATAAATAAATAAAAAATTAAAAAAAAAAGAATCCAACCAATCCAAGAGTCTTAAAAAAAAAAAAAAGAAAAGAAAACTCAGGGACCATCTAGCTCAACTGGCACATAGAGAAAAATAAACCTAATCCCTAGAGAAATGCATAAATTTGCTCAAAGTCACGGACTGCTTCAAAGCCTGGCCTAGAACCTTAGTCTGCTAGTTCCTAACTGTTCTTAACTACATCCTCAGTGTGTTATTGTAAAACTTAGCTAATTTACCCAGCATCTCAAAATCCATTTTTTGAATTATAATCGGTATCAGATATGTAACCCCATGTGAAAAGGCTTGCTTTTTCCTATATAAGAGCTGAAAAGGACATTAAGAGTGAATCACATTCATTTGCTTTAGAGATACAGAACAGGAATCTCAGAGATATTAAGTGATATGCCAGGGTCACATTGCTAGTAGGAGCAGAACTAAACCCAAAACTCAAGTGTCCTCTTTTCTAATCATTACACATTCTTTTCCGTGTGACTCTGTGTGATGTTTCCACCATTATAAGCTTCCCTCTGTGATTTGCAAATTCATTAAAGCATGGAAACTCAGCACAGCTTTCCAGAAACTGGCCTCCTGACACCATCGCTCTACTCCTTTCACACTTCTGCTACTGCTACCCTGTGCTTTTTCCCCTTGTTAATCGTGGGTCCCCATAAAACATTTGGACATTCCTGCAGATGTTTCCTCTTGTGTACAAAGATACATAGCTTCGTTTTCCCATACTCTTTAACTGTGAAGATGTTATAAGTCACTGAGAGACCCCAACTATTTACCTCAAATAGAAAGAAAACAAAAAAACAACTCTCTTTAAATTAATCATGACTCATCCAAAGATGTGAGTTAAAATAAAAATACATGCTTTTCAAAACATATTTATACTCTAAAGGAAAGCTCAGAATAAATAATGAAGTGAATTAATGCTTGTTAATATTTAAGTCATACAAATTCCAGTAAGTACATGTCAGCAAATAGTAAAAGCAAAGAAGGAAATTCTTGGTTTCTTATACAGCCACATTCATCTCCTGATCACGTACATCTTGGAAGATTGTCAACCTCCGTGTCCACACTCTGTGGTAAACTTTTAGCAAGAACTAACTACTTGCATCAAGCCAGTAGTGCTATTTTACTTCTTTCCCTACTACATGCAAATCTTTCTTTAAAAACTTATCAGGAGTACACTTCTTCCTCTGAGCAGAGTTGCCAGGCCAGATGTGTTTTCAGAATAAATATGCTGGGGTAGCGTCTGGTGGACTAGTGGCTCTCAAACCCAAGGTCAGATTCTAATTCTGGGAGTATTTATCTAATTCCAGGTCATTTATCTTCTCTGTCCTTCAATTTTTCATCTTCTAAATAGAAATAAAAGTTCCTGTGGCACAAGGACATTCATCTTTGGTGAGGAAAATTATGGGGAAGCACCATGTAAAGGGATATTACTGTTAAGACCTTTCAAATTCCCTTCCAGCTTTGTTATTAAATGGATCATATATGCCCTACCCTGAAGATCAAGTGTTGCTAAGTGGCATAAGCCAAAGCAGCAAATGAAAGTCAGACCCCCATGAACCAACCACAAAAATGGAAACATTGCCACTGGCAAAAAAATAATTTTGTTTTAGAGAAACTCCATTAATTTGCATCATTTTCAGGGAGTTGCTTGCTATAAATCACACAGCAAAATATCCTTCAAAAGACTGAATCAGAACACACAGTGCTTATGAGATGTCTATGGAAAAGTGGTACTCTGAATGGCAATTCGAGATGGAGCTCTAAGTGACTCATGAGCCCCATCAGAGATGCAGCCATGGAATTAAATATTCATTAGAAGATATGAAGGTGTTTCAGCAACATAAGTTGGCAGTGTCAAAATAAATACTAAGTGTTGTATCTCAAAACATTTATCATATGTCTTTTCTTAGGGAAGAAGCATCTCTTGCTCATGTTCAGAACTCAATGACAAATCATTTGTGCATTTGTATATATTTGATGCCATTAGGAACATATAGGATGATCTGAATGGAAGGTGCATTCTCTACAAAGAAGGAAATATTTTACAAAAAAGAAAAAAAAAGAAAAGACAACTAACTCTGAATTTGAGCAATTTAGAGGAACAAATGTAGCAAATAAATAATTTATTTTCATCTTTGGAATATGTATGTATGAAAAAGTATTTTTAAAATTGGGAATTTATTAACCTTGTTCAAAGTCAAAATGATATTAAAGGTATACATGGAAAGTGTCATCTCATCCCAACCTTGTTGCCTCAGTTTCCCAACCACTCCTCTACTTCCTACAACTAATCACATTTACAGATTTGTATGTATCTATCCTCTGCAAATTCAAATGAAAACAAATATGTATTCTCATTTTGTTGCTTTCTTACACAAACACTGCATATCATAAACATCATCCTGTACTTTCCTTTCTTCACTTAACATGTATCCTGGATTATTTCTTTATTCAAGGACATACACAGCTTCCCTATTAATAAACATCTATAGACTGGTATCTCATGTACATAACTCAAGTAGAGAGCTAGATGCATCTATGAAATCTCACCTAAGTCAAGATACAGAACATTAAACAGAACATTAACAGTGCTCCAGAGTCTCATTCATGTCTTACCCAGTCAGTATCCCTTGGGTAACCACTACTCTGACTTCTATTACCAAATTGTTTTGACAGTTTTGACCTTCACATGAATGAAATTGTAAATTACATATTTTGTGTCCAGTATCTAGTCTGTGATTTAAGGCATACAAGTGAGACATATTCATTTTATTGCATATAGAAGTTTATTCTTTTTCATTGTTTTATAGTATTCATGAATGTATATAGTGAATACATTCAGAACAGAAGGATGAAAATTATAAAGGTTATAGTAGAAACCAATAAAATTGAATATAGAGAAACAGAAAAAATCAATGAAATCAAAAGCTGTTTTTTGAAAAGCTCAAAAAATTGATAAACATCCAGTCAGAATGAGAGAGACTAAAATTTGCCAATGTTAGAAATGAAGAATGGGTCATCACTACCAACTCTACTGTCATTAAAAGGACAATAAAGAATATTACAACTTTGTCTATAAATTCAACAACTTAGATACAAAGGACAAATTCCTAGGAAGACAGAAACTATCAAATTTCATACAGGAAGAAATTGATAACCTGAGCAATCCTGTATCCATATTAAAAATGGAATTTTTACTGAAAATCTTCCAACGACAGCACTCACAGCCCAGATGACTTCACTGGTGAATTCTGAGACATTTAAGAAAGAAACAACACCAATTCTGCACAAATCCCTCCATAAAACAAAAGAAAATGACCCATTTCTCTACTCATTTACAAAATTAAGTAAGGATATTACCAGAAAGGGGGAAAGAACCCCAAATATCAATAACTTTCATGAACCTAGAGGAAAAATTCTTTAACAAAATATTAACAACTCAAATTCAATGAATGTTTTTTAGTGTAATGGAAGATATAGACATCAACAGAAGAGGAAAAGTGTTCCAAATATAGGTACACACATATATGATCAATTGGTTTTGGAAAAAAATTACAAAACCAAATCTATGTGGAAAATATAACCTTTTCAATAAATGATAGACTAATTAGCATTCATATTAAATAAACTCTCACATTCTGTTGTATCTTGCACATGTGTGAAAATTTATTCAAAATGGATCAGAGACCTAAATGTAAAACTCAAAACTGTAAAACACATAGAAGAAAACAGCAGAATGTCTTTATGGCCCTGGATAGGACAGTGCTTTTTTAAATATGACTGCAAATGCAAGATCCATAAAAGAAAATTTTGACAAATTGAACATCTACTCTTGACACTGTGAAATGAATCAAAGAACATGACACAGACCAAAGGAATATTTGCAAAACACTTTTTTCTGGCAAATGACTCATCTAGAATGTATGTAGACCCATCAAAAATCAGTAATAAGGAAAGTCTAATTTTTATTAAGTGCAATGTATTTGTATAGACAGCTCATCAAAGAATATATATGGATGGCAAATAAACATATGAAAAGATGTTCAATG